GCCGCCCCCCCCCGGCCCCCCCCCCCCCCCCCCCCCCCCCCCCCCCCAGGAAGCCCAGACAGGATGACAGATGGACACTGTGTTAAGAAGAGGGGCATAGAAGGAAGGAGGGACATGCCAGACCTAGACCACAAAAGGACATGGAGGAAGGAAAAGAAGGCCCAAGAACACTCTGGACATGATAAACATTGAGGAAAATGAGGATAGACATATACCTGTGCAGCCAGACTTGGAAGCACCTCAGTAGCAGGGTAAGGACAGAGGGCTTTGTCTCACTGGCTCTTGGATTCAAAGCTGTGGCTCATCAATATGCTGAGCCATCAATATGTTTTTTATGGCAGATTTCAAAAGCCAATCTAAGAGCCAATATTGAAAGCCAAAAGAATTCATACCAAGATGTTCACATGTTGGGCACGGGATCTGCGCAGAGATCTGGCAGGGCTGAGCCACTTGAACCATTTGAAGTGACTCTCAAGAGGCTGTCGAGCATTGTAGTGTAGGGCAGTTGGACACAGTCCCCACCTGCTGTTCTGCAGGCTCAGTAAGCCTATCAGGGCCTTACGGCCATCCGAGTCCTTGAATCTGGCAGTAGTTTGGGGAGTTCCTTGGAAAGCTGAAGGAAGAACTCAGCCACAGAGCAGGTTACTACTAGACTCTTCCAGGTACAGGAAGGCACACAACTATCACTAATCAAAAAGAACCTCCTCTAAAGTCCCCAGTCAGGCTAGGGACAAGGCAGACAAGACATGTATTCAGAATACCAAGCAAGCAATAAGGGCTTGTGCTGGTTCCCTACTTAGGGACCTCCAAGTGTGATGGATTCACTGGGCCAGCAGACAATCTAAAAAATATCAAGAGCTTGACAGAACCATGGAGTCTTGTTACACCAGGCAGAAAGTGAACTCTCCAGGTTAGAACTCACCACACAAAGCCAAACAGGAGCTCTGCTTTCTCCCTGGGGCAGAGCAAGCCACAGAAGTTCTCTCTCAAAGATGCCAGCCTTTTTCCTGACCACACACTTCTACCCTGGTTGCGGATCTCACTCGGGCACTCACCTAGGGTCTGCTGGTTGCGGACGCCACCAATCACCACGCAGATCTCGGCAGGCACATCGCCAGTGCCATCCTTGCCGCCTGCCTTCTCCTCCTTGGCCTCACCCTGCCAGATGAACTCCTGTATGTAGTCGTCTGGTACTTCTGTTTTCACCTTCACCTCCGTCATCGTGCCCTGCTCAGCACTCAGCGAGGCCTCAGCTGGCGCTGGCTCCGGGCCCTCCACCTTGCTACTCTTTTGATTGTGCTTCAAGCTTTCCCTGGGAAAGAAGAGAGGCCATTCAGAGGGGGACCCAGAACTGCCCACTGGCACACAGGGAAACCCACCAGTCCTTAGCACCGTAGAGACTCACAACAAGGCTGTCTATTAAATGGAAAGGAAGGCTCCTTGGTCCCTCACGCAGCCCCATTTTACATCTGGGTAAGTGAAGTCTAAAGCCTTCCAGAGTACCCAGCTCACCTCCTGTCATTTGTTTGTACCTTTCACAACGGGACTTACAAGTGACCTCAAAAGGCACCTCTGGATACTGGGGATGTATTCCCGTCCAACTTTAAGCTGGGAGCCTTGATAGATGCAGGGTCTGGCTCAGGCAGCCTGGGCTCTGGCCTGCGAGCAGTACCTTGAGCCGTATGCTCGGAGCACGCCAAGTATTTGCGCTGTTTCTGTTTCTTGGCAGCAGGGCCACAGAGCACATCAGAGCTCTTCTCTTCTCACTCTTAATGGGAAAACTCCAGTCTTAAGAGGCTATCCTGGTGAGGGTGTCATGGAGCCAAGAGTTTGGCAAAGGACTGCTCTCCAAATATTTGAGAACACCCTCAAGGAACTGAAGTCAGATGGAGTTGGGCAGGAAGCTGAGTGCATTCTGTAGGTGGGAACAGAGCCATGACTTGCCTAGATCATAAAAGCAGGTGCAGGAGAACATGCATAGCCAGGGCTCTGGCTTCACACTCACATGACTCTTTCAACATGATTTTCCATGGCCCCCACATCCTTTCAGTAGGTGAATTATCCTCATGACTTCTCTTTCGGAGGTGAGGAGGACAAGGCAGAGACACAGGGCAAAAATCAAATCTCTTTCCAGGGCCAGGGATAGTTCCTGGCTATGCCCAGACCTTTCATCCACTCAGAGAAGCCTGGACTCAAAGCATGTTCAAGTCCAGCCACATGACAAGCAAAGCCAAGCACTGTTAAGGCATGGAGAGCTGGGAGGCAGGGTGGGACTGGGTCCCACTGTGTGGACCCATAAAAGCCCTGCTCTCTGGGTCTTGGCAGCTCCAGTAGTTGAAGAGCAATGGTTTCACTGCATGAGCTGATCTCTAGCTGCATCTGCTCCCAGGGAGGGAAAAGGTTGATGCTGAGCTAAGAGAGAATCCTTGAGGGCCTATTTACAAGGGAAACACAGAGAAAGGCCACTGGGGAGGTACTCTGGACCAAGCTGTGCCCACCCATCCCCAAATTCAGGCATTAATATCCAAACCACAATCACGGCTGTTTCTGGGGCCAGAATGATAGGGAGGTAATTAGGGCTGAATGAGATCACCACGGTGGAGCCTTCATGATGAGATTAGTGACTTTATAATAGGCATTCTTGGGCCACAAGAAGGCTCAGCCAGAAAGGGCAATTTGGTGAAGCCCGATGACCTGAGTGTCATCCCTGTGACCCACAGAGTGGAAGGGGAAAATCGATTCCCATAGGTTGCACTCTGACCTCCACACACTTTATGACATGCCCTTGCTCCAAGATAAATAAATAAATGTCCAAAAGTTATTCTTGCCAATAGAGAACACAGTGGTTGTCTACAAGCTTGACAGTTGCCCCTCCCCAGGGCCCAAGCCATCTGACCCCTGACTTGGCTTCAAGTCTCCAGCTTTGTAAAACACTACGCCTTGAGTTCCATTAACCACCCAGGCTGTCTGTTCCCACCATACAAGGAAAGTAGCACGAAGACCTCTGTTACTTCCCTAATGTGAAACTTGAACCCATCACCTCACCTCGAAGCCTGGGTCTCCTCATCTGCAAAGCACAGGTAATAGGGTTGTCACATAAGATTTAATCAGTGTACACACAGAAAACATTTAGCAGAGCACTTAGCCCATTAATAATGACCTGCTATGAGGTCACTATGAATTCATCCATCTGCCAGGAGACCTCACCAGAGCTGAACTCATGCTGGCTCTTCCACAGGTGTTAAGTCGAATAAACCTCTTTTCTTTATAAACTATGCAGCCTTGAGTATTTTATCACACCAACAGAAACCAGACTATAATACAAAGGGTACGGAAGACTCAAGGGAAGACTCTTACATAGCACATATGCTAGCATGTGAACTACAATGCACGCAACTCGTGGGTTTCCATGGCTTTGGTTTGCCATCACTGCTGGGATCTAGGTATGAGAACCTGAACTGCTCCTGAGACGGAAATGAAGGATTAATGAAAGGTGGCCATGAACCACATTTTCAGACCCAAAGGGAACTGTCAAAGGCCTGGACAAGTCCTAATCACTCCAATGTTTGGAAGCTCAGAAACAGGACAGGAAGGAGTATCACTGTCTCCTCCCCAGCTTGTTCCACTATGTTCTCAATTTCAGCCCCACAACCTACCCTAAACAGACGCCCATGTCCCTTCTGGATCATTAGGTCCTCATTGGTTCCAGGCCACCCTGTGGGGGCAAGAGGTGCTGTGTGTAGTGACAAGTTTGGAGTTTTGGGTTCTGTAAAAAACACACAGAAGTATCGTAAGAGTATGTTTTCGTTTTAATCTCAGGTTTGGGATATGGGGCTGCATCAAATTGTCCACAGCAGCTGACTATGATTTGCCACACGCTCTAGCAGGGGTGTGGTTTTGCCAGCTGCAGAGTTTCTGGGACTGTGTGGTGCTGGGAATTCTGGGGACTTTTCAGAAGGTTTATAACTACTAGGTCCCCGAGAGGTGGGTGGGTTGGTTGGTGGATTGTTGGTAGTTTGCTTTTGGTTGTTATTGGTCATGGTCTGTTAAGTAGTGATGTGCAAATAAGAAACAAGAAAAAATTAGATATCCTGACAGCGAAGATCAAACTCAGGAAGGAGTCTAATGACAACATCTCCCCCTTTCCTTTCTATCTTGTTCTCTCTCCCATCTAGTGTTAGGGGGTTGAAAGGATAGGAAAAGGGTAGAGAAGGGCGGAAGAAAGAAGAACCTACAAAGTAGCTAACACCAGCTACAGCTGTGGGTCAGACAGACTGTGTAACTCTAACCTGTTTGCCCATATGCCCTGCAATGTTGGTCAAAAAAACCTTCCCTGAGCCTTCATTTCCATGTCTATTATGTGAGGATCCTTCCTGGATACAAAGAGAGGTGGGGACATCTATAAGGAGTCCAACTGGGGCACTGGCCTGAAGTGGATATCCATACAAATTTCCAATAGTTATTATCATGATAATGACATTGGTTCATGATGTCACACTGGCCACCTTGAAGCCTTCCCAGCATGATGGAGCATATCTCTTCTGCAGAAGACACATCTCCCTCCCACAAGGGACTCTCAAAGCTATCCAGAATGCTTACAGATTCCTTTCGGCACACCTGGCACACCTGACTCCACTGTCCAGCCTCTCAGCCATCACCTTGTTCTATTTTCTTCAGAGCCCTGGCTACTATCTGAAAATGTCTTGTCCATTAATGACTTACCAAATCCTCCACCCTAAGAGCAGCCCGAGTACCACTGTATCTCTAACATACGATAAATGTTCCATACACACTGTACTTGTTTAATGATCAAGAGAAGGCTCGCCTCCTGGTAAACAGGCATTGAGACTTTTGTGTGCTGTGATCCACAAGAGCCCACTGGGACAGTAGATAGACCCATGCTTAAGGTAGCCATATCCATCTTCAATAAGCCTGGGTAGAAATGTACCACAGAGAGACTCAGGGCATGGAGCCAACTCAGGTCTTGAGGCCACATCTCCTGACCCCTGGGACCTCCAGTCAAGTCATCGGGTTCTGGAGTGAGGAAGAGCGAATGACTTCCTCCCAAGGACAGGTAGACACTTAGTCCCTCCCCCACACACTTGCAACATTCTAAATGATTCCAAGCTTGCTCTGGAAATCCAGCTGCAGCTGTGTGTGCAGCCTGACCCCCCTGACTCAGACCGTGGAAGACGGAGATGAGAAACAGTGTCTCTCGACACAGGTGGGCATGACAGTAGGGCACAGAGCCACGGGCTCGCCTTCCTTAAATACTTGTGGTGCCAAAGACACAGGCAGCTCCCATCTCTTCCCCAACTCTGCACTGAGATTTACAAGCCCCAGCCTCTTTTTCTCAGCTGCTCCACATTTAATTGGGTGTCCTAATAACAACGGCATCACACAAGTACTTAGATCACTTTGAATTAGTGGTGCAGCTCCTTCCAACTTCTTAAAAAAATTTTTTTTCATATATCATTTTTTAAAATAGAGCTCATTATTTTAATTATATCCATTTAAATGTACAGTGGAGCCCTTGAATATTCTCAGCACGAATCATTAGGTATATTAGTGGAAAAGCACTCGGAATCTATCTACATGCTGACACTCCATAATCTATTCTATTTGTGTCGCTGTAAAATAGATTTATATATAGATAACTACAAAATAGTTGCTCAAGATATGCTGTGAATTTTATATTTAACCCGAGTCACACTTCAACATAAAATCCAAAGATGGGCACTAAAAGGGTATTTCTCAGTAAGTACCTCCTCTCCCTGCTCTCCCTGCTCTCCGAGAGCATGGACTGCCTGGAGAGAGGCCAAATGGGTCTCCCACCCAAGGACGTGCTAGCATCTACTGCCCATCTCTTGGGTAATGGTTCTTCCAGTGTGGTCCTTGAGGGCTTAGGCAAAGGCTCCCGGAAACCAGGAGGTTAGGATGTGAGGATGGCCCTGAGCAAGACTCCATTTCCTTCATTTTCAATAGACAGACACAACTTTGTTTTGTTGCTTGACATACAGATATTTGAACTTCTTCCTTGTAGTAGGGAGACTGAAGCTTCCCCTAAATACATGTTTACATCCTAACCTCAGAATGTATGACATGATTTTATTTCTTTTAACATTATGTGTATGTATGCATGTTTACACATAGGCTTGTGTGTGTGTGTGTGTGTGTGTGTGTTGGGGGTGCTGGTTACAGGCAAGACACTGACACTGGATTTTCTTTGATCACACTCTACTTTACTGAGGCCATACCTCATCTGCAGATACAGTGTCTCTCCCTGAATCCAGAGCTCATGCAACTATTGGT